ATAAAAAATGGGGGGCTATAATTCTTGATATAACCACTTTAAGGTGGTCTTTAATTATAAGTTTCAGATAAAGACAGGGTCATAAGAAGGTAATTGAAACATTGCGTGGTTTTTTTATGAGAGGAAAACAAAAAGACAAAATTCGAAAGCAAAAAAACCCCGTTTTCGGTCCATGCTTCCCGATACCTCCTTAAGCTCAAGGCACTAGAACGCCGCATGTTAATGTTTCGGTAGGAGATTTCGGCCCCTCCACGCTATCCTACTTGGGAGATGCCAATAGCAAGCTTCCGCCCATCAGACCCTGAGATCACCTGCGATAGGCTTTGCTCAGGGTACGCAGGGAGAGTGCGGTCGCCACCGAAGTGTGGGCCCCTAAGCCACTGCATACTATATCGCACCCAGCTTCCACTGCTAGTTGACATCTACTATATGAAGTTTTAGCTTTATATATATATACCAAAATTTAAAGGTGTGCGAAAGTTGTTGGATGATTGTTATCGTTACTGCGCATGCGCAGATGATTTCTTTGATAATTTGCGACTAAGTGAGTTAATTGACACAAATGTAGTGCAAATACGTATAGTTGGTCGTTTTCATGACTATGGACAACTACTCGAGTGGACTGCGCATGCTCGAGTGCATGCGCAGATGATTTCTCTATTAAATTATTACTTAGCATGCTATTTACTTCAAAATTGGTGCTAGTAGATGCAGGTTGTTGTTGCCATGACCATGAACTTGAGTAGCTTGTGAAGTTGACTGCGCATGCTCAAGCAGACTGCGCATGCGCAGATGATTTGTGTTAAAACTTGTGACTGAGCGAGCTAATTACTCCAAAGTCGGTACTAGTACATCCAGTTGGTCGTTACCATGAGTTTGGAGAGTTTGTCGTGTTGACAACACATGCTCAGATTCTCAATTAATTTGTGAAAGAGCGAGCTCTGAAATTGGTGCTTGTAAATGCGCTGAGCAAGTTTTCAATCATATATTTTTGGAATGCTGTTTGTCTTCTTAAGCTAGTTTTGACAAATGCATATGAAACTCATCAACACTTTGTTACGGCACTCTTAATATCCGTGACAACGTAAAAATGTTTTTTTATTATTCTCTATAACTTAATGCCTACATATTAAATGTCATATTCAAGCTTTCCTTTGATTTGACGCGAAATGGTTTTTATTCACTCTTACACCTTTTGCCTTTATAATTATTCGATCTGTATTTCTAAAATAATATTTACAAATGCCCGAAGAGAATCTTTTTATTTTATTGGCTCTCTTCTACGAAAACAATACTATGTCCGACCAGTTGATTGCACGAATTATGTAATTTGATCACGTTTTTTTGACACGTGTGTTTACCATCGGAAAGATGCATTGCTTAAATAAACCTAGTTGCTTAGACTAATTGGATGCATTGTTATCCTGTAATGTATAGCCCTGTGAAACACCAATGACCATACGTATTGTGTCTACTATAACCTCTACTCTTGTTCTCCACTTCATCATGTATCCATATTTGTTCTATTTTAGGTCTCAGCTCAAAACAACCCTTGTTTGAAGTTCCTAAAACCTTGATCTACCCAAGAAAGTTACATGTTAGGTATGGCTAGTGGTTGGTCATCGTCATTTGAGCCTTGTGACACCAGTTCAGATGACGTTAACAAGTTAGGTATGGCTAGTGGTTGGTCATCGTCATTTGAGCCTTGTGACACCAGTTCAGTTGACGTTAGTTGTCCTGAAGACGTTGAGGAGGTTGCTAGCAAAGCGTCCCCAAATCAGAAGTTAGTTTTCATGGTATGATAACGGATTACGCGAACGTTGTTAGCAAGAAGTTCACATCAAATATTTATGGTCTTGTTCCATCGTCTTCTGAGAAGGTTTCATGTTCATCCTGTATCTTTCACCAATGTTACAAATGCTTAGTTTTTTTATGTTTTTTGAAATTGCCGTTTTAATGACTATTATTTTAGAGCATAGACATTGAAGATTCTAGTGGTAGTATAGGTATTTTTAACATTTTTTTTGTTGAAAAACTCTCTAGTTTCAATTTTTCAAGATTTCTCATCTTAATTTTCATCTTTAGTTTAGAATCCTTTCGATACGAGAAATGCTCGGGATTTGTGGTACTTTATACGATATATTGAATTTAAGTTTTATAGCTTTAATAACTCTTATTTGTCCATCTTAACTTTGCTATAATTCTATGGATAAATTATGTTTTTATACTTAATAGATTATTGGTGATCCTACTTCACCTGAAGATGTTCAGCAAGAACGACGTATGAAGTTACTGTCGTTAATTAACAATATAGCCCGGGAAAAAGGGTTAGATGGCTAAAATTATAAATGTGATGGTTGTTCCAGACCAATTGGAATGGGTATGATCAATCAATTCTCGACTTGTTATTTCCATAATAACTCAAATATATTTATTTTCAAACATCTTAGCTTATTAAATCTTATCTTTGTAGAAACTATTATAACATAGCACATAATCCCTTTTTTCCATGAAGCCCACGGATGCTTTCGTTCATGATGAAAGAGTCATATTGTATAAGGAGGCTGGCGTTCATCACGAGAGAGTTATGAAAAAGTTACATTGTAAAAGGTAAAAAGTAAAAAACGTATAAACATTCTTAGAGTTTGTTTAAATTATAATTCAAAAAGGCAGAAGTTGTTTGAACCTTTGAAGTATCCTTGGACGTTCTAGTTTCTTTTATGAGAAGAATTCTTGTAAAGAAAAAGACAAATTTTGAAAACAAAAAAATCCCGTTTTTGGTCTGTGCCTCCAGATACCTGTGATCGTTGAGCACTAGAGCGTCGCATGTTAACTAAGGGAACCACATAATCCTTGTTTGTTTGCCATGAAGCATATGGATGGTTTGCTCGTGATGCATGAGAAACAGTAAATGGGAGAGTTAAATCAGAAAGATATAAAGCGATGAAAATGGTATAAAACATGTTTAAGGTTGTCTTTAATTATAAGTGTCAGATAAAGACAGGGTCATAAGAAGTTAATTGAAACATTGCGTGGTTTTTTTTATGAGAGGAAAACAAAAAGACAAAATTCGAAAGCAAAAAAACCCCGTTTTCGGTCCATGCTTCCCGATACCTCCTTAAGCTCAAGGCACTAGAACGCCGCATGTTAACGTTTCGGTAGGAGATTTCGGCCCCTCCACGCTATCCTACTTGGGAGATAGCGTGGAGGGGACGAAATCAATCCATCTTTCCTGTTTTTCATCGGAAAGATGGATTGATTAAATGTACCTAGTTGCTTAGACCAATTGGATGCATTGTTATCCTGTAATGTATTATCCTGTGAAACACCAATGACCATACGTATTGTGTCTACTATAACCTCTATTCTTGTTCTCCACTTCATCATGTATCCATATTTGTTCTATTTTAGGTCTCAGCTCAACACAACCCTTGTTTGAAGTTCCTAAACCTTGATCTACCCAAGAAAGATCTCTGGTGGTAACACCTTTTAAAAAAACGTGATCAAATTACAAAATTCGTGCAATCAAATGGTCGGACATAGTATTGTTTTCGTAGAGAGCCAATTAAATAAAAGATTCTCTTCGGGCATTTGTAAATATTATTTTAGAAATACAGATCGAATAATTATAAAGGCAAAGGTGTAAGAGTGAATAAAAACCATTTCGCGTCAAATCAAAGGACAGCTTGAATATGACATGCAATATACAGGCATTAAGTTATAGATAAAAAAAAAAAAACATTTTTACGTTGTCACGGATATTACGAGTGCCGTAACAAAGTGTTGATGAGTTTCATATGCATTTGTCAAAACTAGCTTAAGAAGACAAATAGCATTCCAAAAATATATGATTGAAAACTTGCTCAGCGCATTTACAAGCACCAATTTCAGAGCTCGCTCTATCACAAATTAATTGAGAATATGAGCATGTGTTGTCAACACGTCAAACTCTCCAAGCTCATAGTAACGACCAACTGGATGCACTAGTACCGATTTTGGAGTAATTAGCTCGCTCAGTCACAAGTTTTAACACAAATCATCTGCGCATGCGCAGTCTACTTGAGCATGCGCAGTCAACTTCACAAGCTACTCAAGTTCATGGTCATGGCAACAACAACCTGCATCTACTAGCACCAATTTTGAAGTAAATAGCATGCTAAGTAATAATTTAATAGAGAAATCATCTGCGCATGCACTCGAGCATGCGCAGTCCACTCCAGTAGTTGTCCATAGTCATGACAACGACCAACTATACGTATTTGCACTACATTTGTGTCAATTAACTCACTTAGTCGCAAATTATCAAAGAAATCATCTGCGCATGCGCAGTAACGTTAACAATTATCCCACAACTTTCGTACGCCTTTAAATTTTGGTATATATATATATAAAGCTAAAACTTCATATAGTAGATGTCAACTAGCAGTGGCTGGGTGGCGACCGCACCTGCGTACCCTGAGCAAAGCTTATCAGTGGGTGGGTGATGAGTTCTGGATATGGCGTTCTAGTGCCCGAGAAAACGGGGTTTTTTTGCTTTCGAATTTTGTCTTTTTGTTTTCCTCTCATAAAAAAAACCACGCAATGTTTCAATTAACTTCTTATGACCCTGTCTTTATCTGACACTTATAATTAAAAACAACCTTAAACATGTTTCATACCATTTTCATCGCTTTATATCTTTCTGATTTAACTCTCCCATTTACTGTTTCTCATGCATCACGAGCAAACCATCCATATGCTTCATGGCAAACAAACAAGGATTATGTGGTTCCCTTAGTTAACATGCGACGCTCTAGTGCTCAACGATCACAGGTATCTGGAGGCACAGACCAAAAACGGGATTTTTTTGTTTTCAAAATTTGTCTTTTTCTTTACAAGAATTCTTCTCATAAAAGAAACTAGAACGTCCAAGGAAACTTCAAAGATTCAAACAAATTCTGCCTTTTTGAATTATAATTTAAACAAACTCTAAGAATGTTTATACGTTTTTTACTTTTTACCTTTTACAATGTAACTTTTTCATAACTCTCTCGTAATGAACGCGAGCCTCCTTGTACAATATGGCTCTTTCATCATGAACGAAAGCATCCATGGGCTTTATGGAAAAAAGGGATTATGTGCTATGTTATAATAGTTTCTACAAAAATAAGATTTAATAAGCTAAGATATTTGAAAATAAATATATTTGAGTTATTATGGAAATAACAAGTCGAGAATTGATTGATCATACCCATTCCAATTGGTCTGGAACAACCATTACATTTATAATTTTGGCCATCTAACCCTTTTTCCCGGGCTATATTGTTAATTAACGACAGTAACTTCATACGTCGTTCTTGCTGAACATCTTCAGGTGAAGTAGGATCACCAATAATCTATTAAGTATAAAAACATAATTCATCCATAGAATTATAGCAAAGTTACGATGGACAGATAAGAGTTATTAAAGCTATAAAACTTAAATTCAACATATCGTATAAAGTACCACAAATCCCGAGCATTTCTCGTATCGAAAAGATTCTAAACTAAAGATAAAATTAAGATGAGAAATCTTGAAAAATTGAAACTAGAGAGTTTTTCAACAAATAAGATGTTAAAAATACCTGTACTACCACTAGATTCTTCAATGTCTATGCTCTAAAATAATAGTCATTAAAACGACAATTTCAAAAAACATAAAAAAACTAAGCATTTGTAATATTGCTGAAAGATACAGGATGAACATGAAACTTTCTCAGAAGGCGATGGAACGAGACCATAAATATTTGATGTGAACTTCTTGCTAACAACGTTCGCGTAATCCATTATAATACCATGAAAACTAACTTCTGATTTGGGCGACGATTTATTAGCAACCCATTTAACGTCTTCAGGACAACTAACGTCAACTGAACTGGTGTCACAAGGCTCAAATGACGATGACCAACCACTAGCCATATCTAACATTTTACCACCAGAGATCTTTCTTGGGTAGATCCAGGTTTTAGGAACTTCAAACAAGGATTGTGTTGAGCTGAGACCTAAAATAGAACAAATATGGATACATGATGAAGTGGAGAACAAGAATAGAGGTTATAGTAGACACAATACGTATGGTCATTGGTGTTTCACAGGGGTATACATTACAGGATAACAATGCATCCAATTAGTCTAAGCAACTAGGTACATTTAAGCAATCCATCTTTCCGATGGTAAACACACGTGTCAAAAAAACGTGATCAAATTACAAAATTCGTGCAATCAAATGGTCGGACATAGTATTGTTTTCGTAGAAGAGAGCCAATAAAATAAAAAGATTCTCTTCGGGCATTTGTAAATATTATTTTAGAAATACAGATCGAATAATTATAAAGGCAAAAGGTGTAAGAGTGAATAAAAACCATTTCGCGTCAAATCAAAGGAAAGCTTGAATATGACATGCAATATACAGGCATTAAGTTATAGAGAAAAATAAAAAAACATTTTTACGTTGTCACGGATATTACGAGTGCCGTAACAAAGTGTTGATGAGTTTCATATGCATTTGTCAAAACTAGCTTAAGAAGACAAACAGCATTCCAAAAATATATGATTGAAAACTTGCTCATCGCATTTACAAGCACCAATTTCAGAGCTCGCTCTGTCAGAAATTAATTGAGAATCTGAGCATGTGTTGTCAACACGACATACTCTCCAAGCTCATGGTAACGACCAACTGGATGTACTAGTACCGACCTTGGAGTAATTAGTTCGCTCAGTCATAAGTTTTAACACAAATCATCTGCGCATGCGCAGTCTGCTTGAGCATGCGCAGTCAACTTCACAAGCTACTCAAGTCCATGGTCATGTCAACAACAACCTGCATCTACTAGCACCAATTTTGAAGTAAATAGCATGCTTAGTAACAATTTAATAGAGAAATCATCTGCACATGCGCTCGAGCATGCGCAGTCTACTCGAGTAGTTGTCCATAGTCATGAAAACGACCAACTATACGTATTTGCACTACATTTGTGTCAATTAACTCACTTAGTCGCAAATTATCAAAGAAATCATCTGCGCATGCGCAGTAACGATAACAATCATCCCACAACTTTCGTACGCCTTTACATTTTGGTATATATATATAAAGCTAAAACTTCATATAGTATATGTCAACTAGCAGTGGAAGCTGGGTGCGATATAGTATGCAGTGGCTTAGGGGCCCACACTTCGGTGGCGACCGCACTCTCCCTGCGTACCCTGAGCAAAGCCTATCGCAGGTGATCTCAGGGTCTGATGGGCGGAAGCTTGCTATTGGCATCTCCCAAGTAGGATAGCGTGGAGGGGCCGAAATCTCCTACCGAAACGTTAACATGCGGCGTTCTAGTGCCTTGAGCTTAAGGAGGTATCGGGAAGCATGGAACGAAAACGGGTTTTTTTTGCTTTCGAATTTTGTCTTTTTGTTTTCCTCTCATAAAAAAAACCACGCAATGCTTCAATTAACTTCTTATGACCCTGTCTTTATCTGACACTTATAATTAAAGACAACCTTAAACATGTTTTATACCATTTCCATCGCTTTATATCTTTCTGATTTAACTCTCCCATTTACTGTTTCTCATGCATCCCGAGCAAACCAACCATATGCTTCATGGCAAACATACAAGGATTATGTGGTTCCCTTAGTTAACATGCAACGCTCTAGTGCTCAACTATCACGGGTATCGGGAGGCACAGACCAAAAACGGGATTTTTTTGTTTTCAAAATTTGTCTTTTTCTTTACAAGAATTCTTCTCATAAAAGAAACTAGAACGTCCAAGGATACTTCAAAGGTTCAAACAACTTCTGCCTTTTTGAATTATAATTTAAACAAACTCTAAGAATGTTTATACCTTTTTACTTTTTACCTTTACAATGTAACTTTTCATAACTCTCTCGTGATGAACGCGAGCCTCCTTATACAATATGACCCTTTCATCATGAACGAAAGCATCCATGGGCTTCATGGAAAAAAGGGATTATGTGCTATGTTATAATAGTTTCTACAAAGATAAGATTTAATAAGCTAAGATATTTGAAAATAAATATATTTGAGTTATTATTGAAATAACAAGTCGAGAATTGATTGATCATACCCATTCCAATTGGTCTGGAACAACCATTACATTTATAATTTTGGCCATCTAACCCTTTTTCCCGGGCTATATTGTTAATTAACGACAGTAACTTCATACGTCGTTCTTGCTGAACATCTTCAGGTGAAATAGGATCACCAATAATCTATTAAGTATAAAAACATAATTTATCCATACAATTATAGCAAAGTTACGATGGACAGAAAAGAGTTATTAAAGCTATAAAACTTAAATTCAATATATCGTATAAAGTACCACAAATCCCGAATATTTCTCGTATCGAAAGGATTCTAAACTAAAGATGAAAATTAAGATGAGAAATCTTGAAAAATTGAAACTAGACAGTTTTTCAACAAAAAAAATGTTAAAAATACCTATACTACCACTAGAATCTTCAATGTCTATGCTCTAAAATAATAGTCATTAAAACGACAATTTCAAAAAACATAAAAAAACTAAACATTTGTAACATTGGTGAAAGATACAGGATGAACATGAAACCTTCTCAGAAGACGATGGAACGAGACCATAAATATTTGATGTGAACTTCTAGCTAACAACGTTCGCGTAATCCGTTATCATACCATAAAAACTAACTTCTGATTAGGGCGACGCTTTACTAGCAACCTCCTCAACGTCTTCAGGATAACCAACTTCAACTGAACTGGTGTCACAAGGCTCAAATGACGATGACCAACCACTAGCCATACCTAACATGCAACTTTCTTGGGTAGATCAAGGTTTTAGGAACTTCAAACAAGGGTTGTGTTGAGCTGAGACCTAAAATAGAACAAATATGGATACATGATGAAGTGGAGAACAAGAATAGAGGTTATAGTAGACACAATACGTATGGTCATTGGTGTTTCACAGGGCTATACATTACAGGATAACAATGGATCCAATTAGTCTAAGCAACTTGGTACATTTAAGCAATCCATCTTTCCGATGGTAAACACACGTGTCAAAAAAACGTGATCAAATTACAAAATTCGTGCAATCAAATGGTCGGACATAGTATTGTTTTCGTAGAAGAGAGCCAATAAAATAAAAAGATTCTCTTCGGGCATTTGTAAATATTATTTTAGAAATACAGATCGAATAATTATAAAGGCAAAAGGTGTAAGAGTGAATAAAAACCATTTCGCGTCAAATCAAAGGAAAGCTTGAATATGACATGCAATATACAGGCATTAAGTTATAGAGAAAAATAAAAAAACATTTTTACGTTGTCACGGTTATTACGAGTGCCGTAACAAAGTGTTGATGAGTTTCATATGCATTTGTCAAAACTAGCTTAAGAAGACAAACAGCATTCCAAAAATATATGATTGAAAACTTGCTCAGCGCATTTACAAGCACCAATTTTAGAGCTCGCTCTGTCACAAATTAATTGAGAATCTGAGCATGTGTTGTCAACACGACAAACTCTCAAGCTCATGGTAACGACCAACTGGATGTACTAGTACCGACTTTGGAGTAATTAGCTCGCTCAGTCACAAGTTTTAACACAAATCATCTGCGCATACGCAGTCTGCTTGAGCATGCGCAGTCAACTTCACAAGCTACTCAAGTCCATGGTCATGGCAACAACAACCTGCATCTACTAGCACCAATTTTGAAGTAAATAGCATGCTTAGTAACAATTTAATAGAGAAATCATCTGCGCATACGCTCCAGTATGCGCAGTCCACTCGAGTATTTATTCATAGTCATGACAATGATCAACTATACGTATTTGCACTACATTTGTGTCAATTAACTCACTTAGTCACAAATTATCAAAGAAATCATCTGCGCATGCGCAGTAACGATAACAATCATCCCACAACTTTTGTACGCCTTTAAATTTTGGTATATATATATAAAGCTAAAACTTCATATAGTAGATGTCAACTAGCAGTGGAAGCTGGGTGCGATATAGTATGCAGTGGCTTAGGGGCCCACACTTCGGTGGCGACCGCACTCTCCCTGCGTACCCTGAGCAAAGCCTATCACAGGTGATCTCAGGGTCTGATGGGCGGAAGCTTGGTATTGGCATCTCCCAAGTAGGATAGCGTGGAGGGGCCGAAATCTCCTACCGAAACGTTAACATGCGGCGTTCTAGTGCCTTGAGCTTAAGGAGGTATCGGGAAGCATGGACCGAAAACGGGGTTTTTTTGCTTTCGAATTTTGTCTTTTTGTTTTCCTCTCATAAAAAAAACCACGCAATGCTTCAATTAACTTCTTATGACCCTGTCTTTATCTGACACTTATAATTAAAGACAACCTTAAACATGTTTTATACCATTTCCATCGCTTTATATCTTTCTGATTTAACTCTCCCATTTACTGTTTCTCATGCATCACGAGCAAACCATCCATATGCTTCATGGCAAACAAACAAGGATTATGTGGTTCCCTTAGTTAACATGCGACGCTTTAGTGCTCAACTACCACGGGTATCGGGAGGCACGGACCGAAAACGGGATTTTTTTGTTTTCAAAATTTGTCTTTTTCTTTACAAGAATTCTTCTCATAAAAGAAACTAGAACGTCCAAGGATACTTCAAAGGTTCAAACAACTTCTGCCTTTTTGAATTATAATTTAAACAAACTCTAAGAATGTTTATACCTTTTTTACTTTTTACCTTTTACAATGTAACTTTTTCATAACTCTCTCGTGATGAACGCGAGCCTCCTTATACAATATGACTCTTTCATCATGAACGAAAGCATCCATGGGCTTCATGGAAAAAAGGGATTATGTGCTATGTTATAATAGTTTCTACAAAGATAAGATTTAATAAGCTAAGATATTTGAAAATAAATATATTTGAGTTATTATGGAAATAAAAAGTCGAGAATTGATTGATCATACCTATTCCAGTTGGTCTGGAACAGCCATTACATTTATAATTTTGCCCATCTAACCCTTTTTCCCGGGCTATATTGTTAATTAACGACAGTAACTTCATACGTCGTTCTTGCTGAACATCTTCAGGTGAAGTAGGATCACCAATAATCTATTAAGTATAAAAACATAATTTATCCATAGAATTATAGCAAAGTTACGATGGACAGATAAGATTTATTAAAACTATAAAACTTAAATTCAACATATCGTATAAAGTACCACAAATCCCGAGCATTTCTCGTATCGAAAGGATTCTAAACTAAAGATAAAATTAAGATGAGAAATCTTGAAAAATTGAAACTAGAGAGTTTTTTAACAAAAAATAATGTTAAAAATACCAGTACTACCACTAGATTTTTCAATGTCTATGCTCTAAAATAATAGTCATTAAAACGACAATTTCAAAAAACCTAAAAAAAACTAAGCATTTGTAATATTGGTGAAAGATACAGGATGAACATGAAACCTTCTCAGAAGACGATGGAACGAGACCATAAATATTTGATGTGAACTTCTTGCTAACAACGTTCGCGTAATCCGTTATCATACCATGAAAACTAACTTCTGATTTGGGTGACGATTTATTAGCAACCCATTTAACGTCTTCAGGACAACTAACGTCAACTGAACTGGTGTCACAAGGCTCAAATGACGATGACCAACCACTAGCCATACCTAACATGTTACCACCAGAGATCTTTCTTGGGTAGATCAAGGTTTTAGGAACTTCAAACAAGGGTTGTGTTGAGCTGAGAGCTAAAATAGAACAAATATGGATACATGATGAAGTGGAGAACAAGAATAGAGGTTATAGTAGACACAATACGTATGGTCATTGGTGTTTCACAGGGGTATACATTACAGGATAACAATGGATCCAATTAGTCTAAGCAACTAGGTACATTTAAGAAATCCATCTTTCCGATGGTAAACACACGTGTCAAAAAAATGTGATCAAATTACAAAATTCGTGCAAACAAATGGTCGGACATAGTATTGTTTTCGTAGAAGAGAGCCAATAAAATAAAAAGATTCTCTTCGGGCATTTGTAAATGTTATTTTAGAAATACAGATCGAATAATTATAAAGGCAAAAGGTGTAAGAGTGAATAAAAACCATTTCGCGTCAAATCAAAGGAAAGCTTGAATATGACATGCAATATACAGGCATTAAGTTATAGAGAAAATAAAAACATTTTACGTTGTCACGGATATTACGAGTGCCGTAACAAAGTGTTGATGAGTTTCATATGCATTTGTCAAAACTAGCTTAAGGAGACAAACAGCATTCCAAAAATATATGATTGAAAACTTGCTCAGCGCATTTACAAGCACCAATTTTAGAGCTTGCTCTGTCACAAATTAATTGAGAATCTGAGCATGTGTTGTCAACACGACAAACTCTCCAAGCTCATGGTAACGACCAACTGGATGTACTAGTACCGACTTTGGAGTAATTAGCTCGCTCAGTCACAAGTTTTAACACAAATCATCTGCGCATGCGCAGTCTGCCTGAGCATGCGCAGTCAACTTCACAAGCTACTCAAGTTCATGGTCATGGCAACAACAACCTGCATCTACTAGCACCAATTTTGAAGTAAATAGCATGCTTAGTAACAATTTAAAAGAGAAATCATCTGTGCATGCGCTCGAGCATGCGCAGTCCACTAGAATAGTTGTCCATAGTCATGATAACGACCAACTATATGTACTTGCACTACATTTGTGTCCAAGAAATTATGTCGCTCAGCTGAGCTGGAGAAACTTCTCGATGTGAATAATAAAAAATGCGAACTCCTTGCTCAAAGATGGCTTTCGGAGGTATGCGCGCAAATAGTGATGATTTTTACAATGCAAATCAAAAATATAGTTGAAACATTAAGTTGATTCATGTTTATGAAATATTCCATGTATTTTCTTTCTGTGTATTCTTTTCACTTTGATAAAAAACCATTTACACCAAAGTGTTAAGCGTACAAAAGCACCTGCACAAACATCTACTTGATGTCACGTGACAATTTGTTAATTAATGACTCTTATTTTTAAACAACTGCATCATTTTTCAACAAATGCGCAAGAAAATATGGTTATTGCGACTAAGAAGTCCGTTACACCAACAGTAAACACTGAAGTCTCAATGACTTGGACGATACAGAACGAGTGTTCGAAAATTTCCAGCAAAAATTTTTTTGCTATGTTTTGGAACTTGATTAAAAACGCAATTTTTTCCTCCAAAGTAAAGATTTTAAAAATCGTGGTTAAATGAACGAATATGTTTTGTTATTCAACTCAAGTTACAAATGATTTACACCAACAACGCTACAAATTCTGTTGCGTAAAGGTTACAAACGGATCATTGGGACACAATATCCTATTTGTACAATAAATATTAGCTCGCGCGATAAGTCTGATCGCAAGTATACCTCGATGGTAAGTCATTCCTGTAAGCTCGTCCACCATCTTCTTACGATGCCATCCAAAATATCATCATTGCTGACGTACTTTTGAATCAAATCGCATTCCTCGTGATTTTTATCCTCAAGTCCTTGTATATTACCGCTGACCATCAACGTCTTTGTGTTTCGCAGGCACTACAATATTAAATATGCTGCTTTACTATTTGCTGACATGGATTTTTTAGAAGTTTGAAACTGTAAATGTTTTCATCATCTGCGACGTGAACGTCCATGAATAACAATAAAAATTTATTGCATTTTGAAAGGTCCCGTGTCCAGTTCCTCTCCCTCTAGTTGCTAAGCTCTGCCACCCTCTCTCCTTCTGCTTTCTAATAGTGCTCAATCTCTCTCCCTCGTAAAAATAGACGGACAAACCTGTCTAGAAACTAGTGAAAATCTTGCCAAACGTGAATCGAGTTCCTACCCGAAATGTTTGAAAGATAAAATTTCTGCGACAATTCCGCTTTCCTTTGCCATGTCGCAGTCGAGTTTCGTGCTGCATAGAATAACAGACATTGCCTGATTTAAAATAAATTCACCATAAGACAAAATGAAAATGTTTTAAAGAATCTCGGTTCTTTCATAAAAAAATAATGTTTCACGAAACACTTTTTTTGAAGACGGGGGGTGGGGATAGGTAGTAAAGCATTTTGGGGAACTTAGATAAAGCTATTCGTAGTTTTAATTACTTTCCAATCTCACAGTTAATTTTTAACACCTCAGACCATAACACATCCTCTAGGTTTAATGTTTATATAAAGTGATCAATAAGCGTGTTACAACTCAAATACATAACATGGCATAAATGAGGTAAAGTTAGAGAGCAACATCCAACTGGAGGATGATGCCACTCCAGAAACTTCGTTTGAAAAGTTGCCTTTAAAAAAACACGACGAATATGTCAACTGAAATAAAAATTACGTAATGTTGCACTGAGGAGTCACTAGAGGGTGAACAAAGTACTCAATTATATTAAGGGGTGCGGGTAAAGACGGAAGTATGGGGGTAAAGGAAACAGAACCCGTCGAGGTTTAATATCGCCACGCTACCACATAAATTTTTTCACTTTGGGGAATTTTATGAATATATTATTGACGTGTTTATTGCATTCATTAGCGAAGTAAATTGACCAATCAAAAACGACTCAATAAATGTTTGACATATGATATTCAAGAAAGTTCGGCTGTTTTAAAAATTATATCAATTCCTTTCTTTTTTTCACAAAACTCTCAAAAATGACTTAAATGTTTGTGACGTGACGGTATGCGCAAAAAACTCTTTTGAGACAATCACTATTTTTCACATTAAACATAACTCTGATATTAAACTGTTGAAAACACAGATGAAGTCAGACCAGCTAGAATGAGTAATTTTATAAACTCAATACAATTACCTTTTCTGAAGCAAAGACTATATCACACAATGCGAGAAGGGAAAGACCAAATCCAGCTATTGGACCGTTTACCGCAGCGATCAAAGGTTTAGGACACGTGAAAAGAAGTCATAGGTCGTATTTATTGCAGGTCTACACCACAATCTGATCTAACTCATAAATACTATAATTCACACAATTAGCTGGCAAACACTATATTTCATGCACCTCACACTCAAAAACTATAGTTTATGCACATAACTCCAAAGATTACATTTCACACACCTAAGTACCAATAATTAAATACAATAGGTTTTTATGAGATGACTTTTATCACAATATCTTTTTAGACGTATTCCTGACGCTAGCAAACGTGAAAATCAAGTTGTTGGTGATTATATCTGTTAAATATGATTGAAGAAAAACATCGAGCCAAGAATCATCTAAAGATATAGAAACAGAACATAAACTTACCACATCGCTTTCAATTTCATTGATAATGGCTTCTCCACCAAATTTCAATGAACGAATTTTGACCTTGCCTAAATGCAAAAGGAGCAATGTTGCAAAGGAAGCAAAAGGAGAAATGTCCGACGTTAATATATCTCACATTCCAAATATATTTTTCACGTTTTTCAGCCAAAGCCGCGTGTCGCTTTTCACGACACACTTTACTGGAACGGAATCGCAACCTTCAATGCAACAAGCCCCTAGCCAGCATATAATTACTAGAGAAAGCATGGTTTTTACAGATGTAAAAAATTGACAAAAAAATTGACACATGTTTGAATGATAAAATTTCTGCGACAATTCCGCGTTCCTTTGCCATGTCGCAGTCGAGTTTCGTGCTACATAGAATAACAGACAAGGCCTGATTTAAAGGAAATTCACCGTTAGACAAAATGAATATTTTATTAAAGCATCTCGGTTCTTTTATAAAATAACAATTATGTTTCACGATACACTATTTTTAGGAGGGGAGAGCGGGTAGGGATAGGGAGTAAAGAATTTTGGGGAACTTAGATAAAGCTATTCGTAGTTTTAATTACTTTTCAACCTCACAGTTAATTTTTAACACCTCAGAACATAACACATCCTATCAGGTTCAAGAAAAGAAAACATTTTAATGTTTATATAAAGTGATCAATAGGCCGAGGATACAACTCAAATACATAACATGGCAAAATATGACCTAGTGCTCTGGCCTCCGTTTAATATAAACAAGTCACGTGTACCTGTGAATGACCAAATAAATGAGGTAAATTTAGAGAGCAACATCCAACTGGAGGATGACCCCACTCCACAAACTTCGTTTGAAAAGTTGCCTTTAAAAAAACACGACGAATATGTCAACTGAAATAAAAATTACGTAATGTTGTACTGAGGAGTCACTAGGGGGTGAACAAAGTACTCTATCACATTAAGGGGTGTGGGTAAAGGAAACTGAACCCGTCGAGGTTTAAAATCGCCAAATAAATTTTTTCACTTTGGGGATTTTCGTCTGAATGTATTATTGACGTGTTTATTGCATTCATTGGCGAAGTAAATTGACCAATCAAAAACGACTCAATAAATGTTTGACATATGATATTCAACAAAGTTCGACTGTTTTAAAAATTATATCAATTCCTTTCTTTTTTCCACAAAAATCTCAAAAATGACTTAAGTGTTAGTGACGTGACGGTACGCGCAAAAAAACTCTTTTGAGACAATCACTAATTTCCATATTATATATAACTCTGATATGAAACAGTTTAAAACACAGATGAAGTCAGACTAGTTAGGGTGAGTAATTTTATAAACTCAATACTATTACCTTTCCTGAAGCAAAGACTATATCACACAATGCGAGAAGGGTAAGACCAAATCCAGCTGTTGGACCGTTTACCGCAGCGACCAAAGTTTTAGGACACGTGACAAAAAGTCGTAGGTCGTATTTATTGCAGGTCTACACCACAATCTGAATAATCTGCACCTGTATGCATTTAACGGCATAAATGTGCCATTCAATGAACAAACCAAAAATCAGTACCATCATTAAAAACAATTGATATTTTCACAAGAACAATAGAGATAAATCAAGAGGCATATCATTATTTATCACAAAACCTTTTCTATTGATGATGTCGGCTATAACCAAACTTTTTATATCTTCTTTTGTAGCTACTTCATTCCTTTATATACGCAACTTCAAGCAAAGGGAAAGGGACCACTTCAATACCCCAGTTATATCATCACATAAAGAATGTTTAGTGCAGAGTTGATCTTCTGGGAGTATCAGTTGACCACCTTCAAGTGGGCTCATATAATAATGGGGCCCATCATCATTATATGAGCAAACAACTGACATGCACAAAGAAACCAAACTACAAATAAACATTCTTGGCCATGAATCACCATGACACACGAGCAAGGAAAAACTAGTAAGAGTAATTGAAGTGAATGAGAGAGGTGGTAAAGGGACTTTCATAACTCCATCCATGTGGGATCTGCAATATGACAAAATATGAAATAATGATATGCAAAGTAACAATGCATCAGCAAATTTAATTTATCATGAAATCTCATGCATCTCTTTCATATTATATTACATTGACTCCAAAAGACTACAGTTCCTGCACTTAACACCATAAGATTAGAGTTCATGAACATAACTCCTGACTGTTATAGTCTATGCCCCTAAATCACAAATATTATAATGAATCCACCTAACTCACTAACACTATAACTTCCTGCACCTAACTCATAAACACTATAATTCACACAATTAGCTTGCAAACACTATATTTCATGCACCTCACACTCAAAAACTAGAGTTTATGTCACATTCAAAAACTATAGTACCAATAATTAAATACAATAGATTTTTATGAGATGATTTTTATCACAATATCTTTTTAGACGTATTCCTGACGCTAGCAAGCGTGAAAATCAAGTTGTTGGTGATTATATCTGCTAAATATGATTGAAGAAAAACATCGAGCCAAGAATCATCTAAAGATATAGAAAAATAATATAAACTTACCACATCGCTTTCAACTTCATTGAAAATGGCTTCTTCACCAAACTTCAACAAACGAATTGTGACCTTGGCGAAATATAAATAGCATTATGTTGCAAAGGAAGCAAAACGAGAAATGTCCGACGTCAATATATCTCACATTCCAAATTTACTTTACACGTTTTTCTGCCAAAGCTGCGAGCCGCTCTTTCTTGTCTTCATCTCATCAGGCAAACATTAATTATAATTTTGAAAACAGCAATTCTTGGTTTTCATGTGTGTCTTAAGGGAATAACAAACAAAGAAAGGGCATCCACCATGTCGCCTAATAGCAAAGGGAATCCAATGATATTATTTTGTAAGGAGTCCATCAGCATGACGCATATGAAAACCACCAATACTTTCCATAAACTAGCAAATTCACAGTTTGAAAACGGATCGCTTTCTTCTATGCCAATTGCATGTTAAAAGTTCATTGCCAATGGCTGCTTCATCAAACTAAATATAAAAAGTGTTATGTTCAAAGCAAGCAAAATGAGACATGTGGGAAGTCATTATCTCACAGTCCAAATTTACTTTAATTTACATAGATATGATGCGAACTGTAGAGACAACGACACTTATCACTTTATTATAAAACACATGTAATATAGACAAAAGAATCAGCCACCATGGGGTTGCTGCAAAACTGCAACGTCAATTTAAATATATTGCAAAACCAATCAAATTCTTTCATACTCATTACACTAGTTTAAATTCATAAGAAAATTGAAAATTTTCGATCCGTGCCATGCCTTAACAGCTTTCTCTAATCTTCCAAGTTGACTTTTTATAAAGCATTGATATGTGGTTAATCTCTTTTACCTCGAATTTTGTTGTAGATGGACAACTTTTCGCGTAAGACACAATATTTCACAATAAAAAAACCGTCTGTGAAAAACTATACTTTTAAAATTGTAGTTGTTCATTCCTATTTATGCAAGAGAAACCGCAAGTTATTAGTAGCCTTACAGATCTTCTTTCTTAATCAGTAAACCATAAATTTTCTTTTACTGCTCAACATTCTTTTTAAAAAAAAGGTGTGCGAACGGCAAGCAGTTTTAGATTATGTTCGTAAGCCATGAAAACCGCATGAAATCTTTGTGACTATCTATAAACATCTTCACACGTTTCTCAAAATCACATTCAGTTTCAGTTCCAAAATTTATATTTTTCTCGTTATTATAAAGCATCTTGTAAGTTGCACTATTCATAACAGCTTAGCTTTCCGCTAATAAGTGATAATGAGCAAAGTACATACAACATGTGGCTTTCAGCTTCGTAAACCTTATTCTTCGTTTGTGGCGTTGACAAAACTACAACGAGAATTTCTTCTTTAAAGTACATATTATTACTCCATAAATCTATTTATTGAGGCTTAAATAATCGCAATGATTGTACTACCTTCAAGCAATTGAATGAAAATTGATGAGAGATGTAAGAAACATTAGACTACTAATTATAAATGCACAATAGAAAAGAAAAACATGTCAATCATACGTCAGTTAAATATACATATCGAAGGTGAAGACATCTTTTTATTCCGTTCAAAGATTTGTGAGCATATATTCTAACGATCATTAAATGGCGCCCAACGTGGGGCCGGTAAGTAAGTATACGACGGTATTCTAGAACAGCTTCATTCGAAAACCAAAGCAATGTCGAAGGATAATATTGAACGACTTCGCGCCAAACGAGGCGGTTATCGTGGCGTGTGTACAAGGCTTGTAAAAGAAGCACTCGAGCTTCTGGATGCCACTGAAGTAGACATCGAACGATGTAATGTCATCGCTGAACAACTCGAGAGTAAGATGAAGATCTTAGACGAAATAAACGACGAAATCATTGGGATATGCGATGTAACGGATATTGAACACGAAATTGAAGAAGCAGCCGCCGTCTCGGATAGAATTCTAAGCACTAGACGTAAAATCGAAGCAGCAAGAAAACCGGAGATTTGTCAAGAAACTATAAAAAGAAGGCAAAGTCCTACACCACAAGTCGAACAGATTCCTTTAGTGGTAGCAACAGCAAGCACGAGTAACACAACGATAAGCAACGATGAGAATAATACGAACACGGATGCTATTAATACGAACACGAATGCGTTGAACACGAATACGAATGCGGTTAATACGAACACGAATACGGTCTATACGAACACGAACACGGTCTATACGAACACGAATGCTATTGATACGATTACGAATGAAGTGATAAATACGAATTCTACGATTTTGAATGCCCCTGTCAGAACAACACCAGCGATAATGATGCCAAAGCTTCCCAAACTTCAATTGCCGAAATTCAGTGGAAAGATCACAGAATGGAACGCCTTTTGGGACTTATACAATGCTACGATTCACAGCAACGAGAGTATGTCTAAGGTAAACAAATTCAATTACCTATTCTCATTGCTTGAGGGTAGTGCAGCACGTTCGATAAAGGGACTTACCTTAACATCCGCAAATTATGACGCAGCAATTGCGATTCTGCAAGATAGATTTGGTCGAACCCAACAGGTCATTGCCGCACATATGGATCAAATCCTACAAATATCTGCATGTTCTGAAAATCGTACTGGGCAATTGAGATATGTTTTCGATCAAATAAGTGTTCAAGTGCGAGGACTTGATTCGCTTGGGGTATCTGCAAACCAGTGCGGCAGTCTGCTCATACCAATTATTATGTCCAAACTACCGAGTGAAATAAGATTGCAGGTAGCACGAAAAGCTACTGGTGATGTTTGGCAAATTGAAGAGTTACTCAAAACCATAAAGTTTGAAGTTGAGGCACGTGAAATGAGCGAGTCATCGCGTTCGATTGAAAAACCCCAGAACAAAGATAAGCCCAACAAGCCATCGACAGCTGGAACATTTGTAGTGACGAAAAATGATAAAGACGGTGCCTGTAGCTTCAAGGTTAAATGCGTATACTGTCAAGGATCACATTATTCAGCATCTTGTGAAGAGGTAAAGGAAAGGGAAGCCCGAGTTAAAATTCTAAGGGACTCCAACCGTTGCTTTATTTGTCTAAAAAAGGGACACCAAGCAAGCAAGTGTATAGTCACAAGAAAATGTCGACATTGTTCCGGGAGGCATCACCAATCTATTTGCAGCAATCCTGCTACCAACAGTCAGGGTGTCCAAAATGAAAAAGCAATTGATAACACCAATCCACAGAAAGTATCAGAAGGTGTAAACTCTCCAACCACAACAGCTGTCACACGAACTGTCAAGGGAAGTGTTCTTTTGCAGACAGCCAGAGCTCTCGTATCAAACGGATCAAAATCGGTTCCAGCACGAATTCTCTTTGACACTGGAAGCCAAAGGTCTTACATTCGAAGGTCACTTCAAGGCCGGTTAAGGTTAAATTCAATTGGTAAGGAGACACTTCAATTAAATTCCTTTGGCCAAAGCAAGAGTAAACGAGAAAGCTGCGAAGTGTTCAAGGTGAGCATTGCAAGCAAGAGTGGAGGTGAGGCAGTAGAGATTAAAGCAATCGCATTTCCAACAATATGTGCACCACTTCCTACAAGGATAAATATAGACGAATATCCACATCTCCATGGTTTAGAACTTGCAGACTTTGATTCTTCCGATAACAATGGTAGCTGTGATTCAATCGACATCTTGATAGGAGCTGATCATTATTGGGACGTAGTCACAGGTGATGTCGTACGAGGAGAAATGGTCCAACAGCGATGAGCAGCAAATTGGGATGGCTTTTGTCTGGATGGTCATCACAAAAATCAGACGAACATACTCTGAACAGCCTCATTTTAGCAGCCGACTGCCTTGATAATTCTACTGTCGTAACCGATAGGGATGAGTTAACAATATCATTGAAGCGTTTTGGGAAACTGAGAACGTTGGCATTGACTCCTTTGACTCGAGAACTCACGAGGAACAAGATTTTGTGCGAAATATTCAATTCACTGGAACACGCTACGAAGTTGGTCTGCCGTGGAAAAATGATCATGTGCAAATTGATGACGATTACGAACTCTGTCATAATAGATTGAGATCATTGCATCAAAACTGCTAAAGGATCCACAAAATCTTGAAGAATACAATAATGGTATTACTGAACAATTGGCAGCAGGAATAGTCGAAAGGGTTCCGGCATCTGATAAGGATTGTGGTAAAATTCACTATCTTCCCCATCATTGTGTCATACGAAAGGATAAGGTTACTACGAAGCTACGCGTTGTATATGATGGATCTGCTACGACGAACTTGCGTAAATTTTCACTAAACGATTGCTTACTGACCGGGCCGAACCTCATTCCACAAATCTTTGATTTGCTCGTCAAATTTCGACAAAACAAGATTGGGCTAGTTGCTGACATTGAGAAAGCATTCTTAATGATTGGAATTGACAAGGAAGATAGAGACATGCTTCGTTTTTTGTGGCTAAGGGATGCTAGGGATCCTCATTCAGAAGTATTAAAGCTAAGGTTTTGTCGATTGGTTTTTGGTCTACGACCTTCGCCAGCAATTCTAGGAGCTACTATCAACCATCATTTGAAGACACACGAGAAGCAGGAGCCAGAAACTGTTGAACACTTGAAAAATTCTCTGTATGTCGATGATTTTGTGTCCGGTGCTGAAACCGATGAAACCGCTTTGCAAATATACAAGGGAACAAAGCAGTTGATGGCCAAGGGTGGATTCAACTTGCGAAAATGGAACTCGAATTCCAGTAACGTAGTAAAGTCTATCGAAGCGTTAGAAGGTAGCAAGAATTTGAGCTTGATTAGTGACAAGTCAAGCGTTACTCAAGATGATCAGTCCTTTACAAAGTCGACAATTGCAAAAGAGTCCTGCTCACGGAACCCACTCAAGTCAAAGTACTAGGAATGGTGTGGGATACGGTGGAGGACACATTTCTATTCAATTTGACTGAAATAATCGAGTACGCCAATTCATTACCTGTCACAAAGCGATCGTTGTTGAAATGGTCATCTAAAATCTTCGATCCCCTTGGATTCTTGTCTCCTTTACGATAAGGCTCAAGATTCTGTTTCAAATCATGTGCTTGGATAGATTGGGATGGGACTGTGAACTGCATGGCAATCTACGTGAACAGTGGAACGTTTTATTGTCAGAGTTAAAGTTTCTAAATGATGTTCGTGTACCGAGGTGCTATTATCTACTCCAACCGAAATACTTTACTACACAAGTTCATGGATTCAGTGATGCATCTGAAAGTGCAATTGGTGCTGTTGTCTATGTAAGAACAGTCTATGAGAATGGTACCATCGACGTGAAATTAATCGCTTCAAAGACAAAGGTCGCACCAGTGAAAAAGCAAACGATTCCCCGTTTAGAGCTGGTGGCAGCGACTGTACTAGCGAAGTTAGTAGAGTCTTTGTTAAAGGCACTAAAGTGGAGTCTGGAAGTTTTTTATTGGGTTGACTCGATGACAGCACTTCACTGGATACGAAACGATCGAGCATGGAAACCATTCGTGCAGCATCGAGTGAACAAGATTCGAAGTATTTCGTTGACGGAATCTTGGAACTTTTGTCCTGGATCACTTAATCCTGCAGATTTACCCTCACGAGGTATTTCTGGGCAACTACTTTCGAATTCTTCCTCATGGTTCAATGGACCCAAATTCTTGGCAAGAGGCGAAGAAGAGTGGCCAAAACGTCCAGTTGGCAACCTCTCACAAAGTGACGAAGTTCTGAGGGAAATTGTGAAAGAGCATCCGAATGTCGTAAGATCACTAGTTTCGAATGAAATCGAACAACGAGCCATGCCAGATCTTAACAAAGCAATCGACATTACTCGTTATAGCTCCATGAAGAAACTTCTTCGAACAACTGCTTATGTAATGAGATTTATCAACATGTTAAAGAAGATGCCACGGTGCGAGCGAACAACAAACAAACTCACAACCTCAGAAGAACTAAGCTCAGACGAAATAAGGAAGGCGCAGCTGCTGTGGATAAGGTCTATTCAACAACTATCCTTTGAAAAGGAAATACTATTCCTTCTGTCAAAGAATGTGAATTCTTCAATACCCATTTACGTTAAGCAATTTGGGCTATTTCTCGACGGTGATCACGTGCTGCGGTGCCGTGGGAGACTGAAGAATTCATCGCTGAATCTGGAGAGCAAAAATCCTGTATTGCTTCCAAAGGAATCAAGATTTGTGGAGTTATTAATATGCGAGGTTCACCACAATGTGAAGCACAGCGGGATTCGTGATACACTAACAACCATTAGAGAGCATTTTTGGATAATCCGTGGTCGAGAAGCAGTAAAGAAAATAGTCAGGAAATGTGTCGTTTGTCGTAAAGCCGAAGGTCTTCCTTATGGGGGAACGCCTCCTCCAGATCTTCCTGTTAGCAGAGTGTCGGATGATCCCCCTTTCACAAACGTAGGTTTGGACTTTGCCGGACCTTTGTTCGTACGAGAAAGTTGTGAAAGGAATAATTTGTCGGATAATCCAACAAAGGTGTATATTCTATTGTTTACGTGTGCGTCTACTAGAGCCATTCATCTGGAGCTCACTCCTTCCTTAAGCGTTCCAGCCTTTCTCCGCGCGTTCCGAAGATACGCTAGTCGACGAGCACTGCCAGCTCTTCTTATATCCGATAATGCTAAGACTTTCCGAGCTGCATGCTTAGAAATTCGCAAGTTATGTCGTTCTGAGGAAGTGTTACGCTATCTTGCAAACCATCAGATTACATGGCAATTTATCGTCGAAAAGGCCCCTTGGTGGGAGGCTTCTGGGAACGTTTGATTCGAAGCGTGAAACGTCCGTTGCGAAAGGTAGTTGGTAGAACCAATCTAACCTACGACGAGTTGCATACTATTGTGGTTGAAATCGAGGGCGTAATAAATGCACGACCCCTAACCTACGTGTACGACGATGAAGAAGCTGTATCTCTTCCGCTAAGCCCGTCGCACTTGGTGTATGGAAGACGAATAACGACCATGCCAAACAGTGAGCACTTTGAAATTCAGAGCACCTATCAATCTTTGACGAGAAAGGCGAAACATCACAAAAATTTGCTGCAACGTTTTACTCTTCAATGGAGAAACGAGTATCTTTTAGCCTTACGAGAGCAATACACTTCAAAATCAAGAGGTAATCAAAATCCCAAAATAGCAGTTGGAGATATCGTCATTATTCGCAACGATCAAACAAAACGTATCTTTTGGAAGGTGGCGAAGGTTGAACAATTGTTACAAGGTGGCGATGGAATTACACGAGCTGCACAAGTCAGAGTCCTTCGTGGAGACTCTAGTCATTCACACTTGTTGCGGCGTTCTATCAGGCAACTTATTCCAATTGAGGTTCATCAGGAAGAAGACAGTAACGAAAGAGTAGAGAACGATAAGAAAGGCGAAGAAGAACAAGTGCTTCATCGAACTGATCGACCACAACGCAGCGCGGGAATAACAGGACAATTGCGAAGATTGCAGAATACAAACAAGCTCTAAACAACTGTACATTCTTAGCTAAAAATAGTTTTGTTTTTTTTGTTTTGTTTGTTGACAACATTTTATTATGTCAACCCTGGGGAGTGTAAGAAACATTAGACTACTAATTATAAGTGCACAATAGAAAAGAAAAACATGTCAATCATACGTCAGTTAAATATACATATCGAAGGCGAAGACATCTTTTTTATTCCGTTCAAAGATTTGTGAGCATATATTCCGAACGATCATTAAAAGAGACTTGCAGCTTCTTGCGAGATGCGGCCTTGCTGCAGAGTATTTGCCCTTTGTTGCATATTTCAAATGGTTTTGAATAAACGGAACTTTTAATGAACTGAACCAGCAGCTAGTGGAAATGTCGAAGAAAATCTTCCACCAATAATTAAATACAATAGATTTTTCTAAGATGACTTTTATCACAATATCTTTTTAGACATGTTCCTGACGCTAGCAAACGTGAAAATCAAGTTGTTGGTGATTATATCTGCTAAATATGATTGAAGAAAACATCGAGCCAAGAATCATCTAAAGATATAGAAACATAATATAAACTTACTACATCGCTTTCAATTTCATTGATAATGGCTTCTTCACCAAACTTCAACGAACGAATTTTGACATTGCCTAAATGTAAAAGGAGTAATGTTGCAAAGGAAGCAAAACGAGAAATGTCTGACGTCAATATATCTCACATTCCAAATTTACTTTACACGTTTTCTGCCAAAGCTGCGAGTCGCTCTTTCTTGTCTTCATCTCATCAAACAAAAACACAAACATCTGTTTTCGAAAATCTGTTTTGAAAATCTGTTTTCAAATTATAATTAATGTTTGCTTGATGTCTTCATCTCATCAAGCAAACATTAATTATAATTTTGAAAACAGCAATCATGTGTGTCTTAAGGGAATAACAAACAAAGAAAGAGCATCCACCATGTTGCCTAATAACAAAGGGAATCCAATGATATTATTTTGTAAGGAGTCCATCAGCATGACGTATATGAAAACCACCAATACTTTCCATAAACTAACAAATTCACAGTTTGAAAACGGATCGCTTTCTTCTATGCCAATTGCATGTTAAAAGTTCATTGCCAATGGCTGCTTCATCAAACTAAATATAAAAAGTGTTATGTTCAAAGCAAGCAAAATGAGACATGTGGGAAGTCATTAACTCACAGTCCAAATTTACTTTAATTTACATAGATATGATGCGAACTGTAGAGACAACGACACTTATCACTTTATTATAAAACACGTGTAATATAGACAAAAGAATCAGCCACCATGGGGTTGCTGCAAAACTGCAACGTCAATTTAAATTTATTGCAAAACCAATCAAATTCATTCATACTCATTACACTAGTTTGAATTCATTAAAAAAATTTAAAATTTTCGATCCGTGCCATGCCTTAACAGCTTTCTCTAATCTTCCAAGTTGACTTTTTATAAAGCATTGATATGTGGTTAATCTCTTTTACCGCGAATTTTGTTGTAGATGGACAACTTTTCGCATAAGACAGAATATTTCACAATAAAAAAACCGTCTGTGAAAAACTATACTTTTGAAATTGTAGTTGTTCATTCCTATTTATGCAAGATAAACCGCAAGTTATTAGTAGCCTTACAGATCTTCTTTCTCAATCAGTAAACCATAAATTTTCTTTTACTGCTCAACATTCTTTTTAAAAAAAAGGTGTGCGAACAGCAAGCAGTTTTAGATTATGTTCGTAAGCCATGAAAACCGCATGAAATCTTTGTGACTATCTATAAACATCTTCACACGTTTCTCAAAATCACATTCAGTTTCAGTTCCAAAATTTATATTTTTCTCGTTATTATAAAGCATCTTGTAAGTTGTGCTATTCATAACAGCTTAGCTTTCCGCTAATAAATAAGTGACAATGAGCAAAGTACATACAACATGTGGCTTTCAGCTTCGTAAACATTATTCTTCGTTTGTGGCGTTGACAAAACTACAACGAGAATTTCTTCTTTTAAAATACATATTATAACTCCATAAACCTATGTATTGAGGCTTAAATAATCGAAATGATTGTGCTACCGTGAAGCAATTGAATGAAAATTGATGAGAGACTTGCGGCTTCTTGCGAGATGCGGGCCCCTTGCTGCAGAGTATTTGTCCTTTGTTGCATATTTCAAATGGTTTTGAATAAACGGAACTTTTAATGAACTGAACCAGCAGCTGGTGGAAATGTCGAAGAAAATCTTGATAAACCATTGAATAAATGGCTGGTCATGGTTAGAAGAGGTAGTCTGTTAAATGGGTATGACTGGCAATTGTTCGAGATAAACCATTGAATAAATGGCTGGTTATGGTTAGAAGAGGTGGTCTATTGTTGGAGCATGATTTTCTAGTAGTTAACAACAAACCTTTGGGGTCAAAGCATTGTATTTATCAGGCCTGTTCATTGTGATTGTCCTCAAACCGCCATCAGGAGAGACAAGAATATTTTCAAACTCATTTGATGTATTAATGTCTTTGTTGGGTTGGCTGTTAATCTTGGGTTCTTGTCCTGAAGTTACATTTAAGAAATATTGAATAAATTTGCAATAACTAATTTGTAATAACTGTTTTGGACTAAACAGCCCAAAAGTGTAAGAGATTGAGTTCAAAGATATTTCATCTCCTTAATGAATGACTAAGGTGTTTCACTTGCACGTCAAAACTTTTCAACATTATTTAACTTTAATAACTGTAGACATATAACAAACATACTCCTGTAATGTTAAAACATTGTTAGTCAAAAATCTGTTCTATAGTTCAATGTTGAGAAGGACATGTACACAACAGGGAAATGATGTTTATACAGAATATTTTGCAGAAAAGCTTTGTGTTTATAATACACAGCAAAGTTAAAAATCACCTAGTAAAGTCTCCACAAGTGCTATATACTGTTTTTGTGCATCTACCTAAAAGAAAAGTTCAATTTAAAAGTATTCATTACATGCAATAGAAGTTTTTTTCAAAAGGCCTTAGGTATTTGATAGAGAATCAATGGTAACATTTGCATTTTTTTCCTGCATCACCAATACTAAGAATGTTAAGTACAAGATTTTACTCACCTAAATGTTAAGGAATTCTTTGTAAATACAAATAGGGGATATAATTCAGATTGCATGCTTGGAGAGAAACTATGTATATTAAAACCATTGAAAAGCACAGATTTACATGCAGATATTTTAGCTGTATGCTCCGGTAGGTGTATATGTACTCATAAATTCCTGAAGACCCACACACTCAGTTCTTAATTAACGGTGTGCTGTCAACTTTGCATAAAATAACTTTTTTACTATAAATAATTTGATGACGATAGATTTTAGTAAGACTTGTGAGAGTGTTCAATAAAATTGTTGAAAGATACAGTCCTTTGGTGATGTTTGAAACTAGATACATATTGAATGCTCATTATAAGATAAGTGCAGCCTTTCTTAAACTAAATATTCACCTGTGATAAATCACCCAAATCGTTCCATGCATTCCATTTTGCCTTTCCAACAAAGTCCAAAGTCCCAGGCTTTGGTGTATTACATTTGCCTAAAGAACCCTGGAAATGTATATTGTTATTTGGGTTCGTCTTATTTTTAACTTTGATTGTATTGTATGGTGGAACTGTGAACAGTTATAATTGAAAAAAAATTGATTGTGCCTTTGCAAAAATGTGATTCAACTGCGATGATGCCCATTGTGCATTAAAAGTGTAAAGTCACCATTTAATTTAATTGAAGAGCTTGTAGGTAGGAGATACAACAACTAATGTTCAAGCTTTATGTAAAAACCGGATACAATATCTTTATGAATCGTAAAATACCTGCTTAAAAAGGGCGTACATCTATGACTTCAATTCATTCCCTGGATCTTGAGTTAAAGATCCCACTTTGTCTTTTGCTTCTTTAAACTGGTGAGAGATTGCAGAGAACTTCGAACCATCTTCGTAAAAATGTTCAGGTTTAAATAACGTCGAGATAGATAGTTCACTATACCACGACGAAAAATTGCATGTGATTTACAAACTCTTGGCGTCACGTTCATTTGCTATAATAAAATTTACAATAAATATTTTTTCATTATTGATTGAACTTTCGACGAATAAGAAAATTGACATCTAGAAATGACATGAATGAAAGGCAAAAGTAAATCAAACATGTGACTATTTTTGACCAATGACATTAGGATGTTGATAGTGGTTACAATGGATGATAGTGGATAATTATGGACATGCTTTCAAAATGGCGTATGCTGAACAATTTAATTTTCAGTCAATTTGGAGCACACTTAATCATTTTATGGCAAGAATAGGTAAATGTTGGCTGAACTCTATAAAATAAGGCGTTCGGAAGCGTAGAAAAGGACTTGAGGCATATACAAGACAACTATCTTCACGTAGCAGACTGACATTTGTGGTGAATTCACTGAATTGTTCTGGAAGCTTAAAGTTATTGGTTGTTATTCTGGCTATGTGAATCCAATCTATCTGCATGAGTTCTATCATGATTTTAAACAGCAAATCGATGCGTTACGTATGAGTTGTATCGACCTGCTTACTACACAGTCAACACTTCACCAATTTGGAATTTGAAACATTTTGGTGATGAGAATTTTATACCGACGTATCCCTGCGATAAAAAGACTCATAAGAAAAACTGTTTTGTTCAGAGTAAGGTAAAAATATTTTACTCGCTGATTGCCTAAATATTCTTTGAGTATTTAAAACTGGCTCATGTAAGACCATACATGTATGTAGTTAATGGGATCTAAATTTTAGCTAGCTTCTGCAATATTATTATAAGTAAAACGATGCACGGTAGTGAGGTATAACTTAGTGATTAAATGTACTCGAAAGCCGAGGGAGATTTTGTAGTAGAAATCACAAGACTTGTAGCACCGAGGGACTTTAGCTAACCTGCCAGTGCTTTCAAGTGCATTTGATTGCCAAAATGTTTTAGTCAGTGCTTCACACACTGTTTATAAATTTGAATCTGCAGCTATTATTACCTAAGTGAAGATCTATTAATTGTCATGCTTTATTTTATCTTCATGTTTTTTTATATTTTCACCATCATAAGTTGAACATTTGAGTTACCTCGCATGAGTCGTTTTTACTTAAAATATGTTCTTTAACAATTTTGGTTCATCATTTTTATTGTTTTCTTGTTATTGATTTTATTTAGTATTTGTTAATATTGCAACTAAAATATTAACTCGTTTCAGTCTCCGCTTGCTGAAATCAAGATGGCTTCTAACCTTGAGCATTTCAAACATTACAACTCAATGGTTGAAACCATTGAACTATTTAATCAAGTTACATTTGTTTCATTGTGTGCAATTCCTCTTTATGGATATCAAAGATATAGACAGTTATTCAAGAATGAAATAAAATATAGAATGTTTTCATTTGTTGATTTGACATACAGATTGGTTTGTTTACCTCCCAAAAAGGGAGGAAATTTGTTCAGCAAACATAAATGCAGTCTTTACAATGTTTTTAGTTGTCTTGTCATAAATATCGAAAATGTTTAATGATTGATAATATTTTTAATTGTTTAACTAAATGAGTTTGTTTTATACTTCATTAGAAACTGATGGAAGCTTTGAATAAGTTTGGTAAAACGGCAGATAAATCCTGGGGATGGGGATGAAGCTTTCTATGTTTATAGATGTACACCATTGTGAATTTATAATTCCATTGCTATCACAATTTAGAGATTAATATAAAAATTTTGATGCTATGAGACGGTCTCATCAATGTACAACAATGGAACTGGATTTCCAACTTCTTGAGAGATTCAACCTCACTTACGCTATGTAAGTTTTGCCAGTAAGCTTTTCGTTGAATAACCTCACTACAGTCTTGATACTTAATTCATTCAACCAACAGTGACATGATTATTTGTTTCTATAGAAACCTATTGTTATATATTTATATGCTTATATATACTATATACTTATATACAGCCTGCTACATTGCTGAACACTGAAAGTCCCACCTGCATTCAAACTCCATAAACAAGCCCACCCGCATATAAGTATATAGTTACATTTAATACTGTAATGTTAACAGATAATTGCAATATAATAGTTAATACTCCATGCATGTTTCCCTGTGCATCCCCATGTAAATATCATTGATAATGGCTCACAAACATATGTAAGCCTGTGTATTATAGTCAGAGGATTACGGTACAGTTTAAGTTTCCATGAAAGATTGTAGATCTTTACAAATTGTAACAATTTAGTAACTTATCAATATTCTATTACTCTATTGACAGTGGTGAAGGAAATGAAAAATTACATATTGCTATTATTCATCGAGCTATTCTAGGTTCAGCTGGTGAAGAAGCCATTATCAATGAAATTGAAAGTTTAGTGAAGAAACATAACATAATGGCTTTCAATTTTAAGCCATTATCAAAATCACGTTTGATAATGGCTTCAGTTTGGTGAAGAATACGACAGAAAATGGTTATGGTCTGTATAAAATAGAAAAGTGAAGTATTTCTTCCCTTTCCCATTTTTACTTTCTTACTACTAACTTTGTTAAGTTTTTAGGAAGAAGAGGCTGACAATGATCGTGGTTGTCTGGATGAACAAGTATCGTTTCCCTATCATGTCTCCATTTGCCAAACAAACTCTTTTTACTCTTTCAGATGACGACAAGGCAGTTCCTCGTGGCGTGGATGAGCAGCAAAACTGAGGTATTTGTTTTTAATTTGTGCGGTTGTAGATGATCAGTATACACTGATATATTACACACTTCGTACAAAATATGTTTTTATATATTATGCATGTAAATTTACTTTTCATAATTGGAAAGGTCGTCGTTTAAATAGATTCGTGCTCAGTTACAATTGGTTTTTTCTTTGAAAATTAGATTGTCCCCCCGCTTTCTAATTTGAATTAGAATTTTAGCAAATTTTGAAGTTGTTTCAAAGTAGTTTGACACGTACTTCGAACTGCTGAGCACAAAGTAATTTTGCTAACTCGCAATGACTGTTCATGCGTCTATTTCTATAATACTATAGTTCATGCGACTTAAACGATCTCATGACACCGTTGAAATAAATGAAATGGTAATTGAGTCCCATCGGTTCTAATCGCTAATAAAGCGCTCGCAAGAAAAATGTTTCGTTTGATCATAGTGTGTGTGTGTGTCATCGTGGGGGTAACTTCATATGCTGAAAAGACAGTTAAATTTTCCATGCACCTAACTCCCAAAGACTATAGCTAATGTGTCTATTTCACAAAGACTTTAGTTCATGCACCTAAAGGCTATAAAATATATATATATGTATATTGTTCGTGCATCTTAACAATATAGTTCATGTACCTAACTCCCAAAGAGCCTAAACTCTTCATGAACCTAAACTCGGAACGACTATAGTTCATACACCTAACTCCCAAAGACTATATTTCACGCACGTAACTCGCAAAGACTATAAGATCATGCGTCTATTTCCCAAAGAGTTTAGTTCATGCAACTAACACCAAAGAAAATAGTTAATGTATCTAATTACCAAAGACTATAGTGCACCTAACTCCCAAAGACTATAGTTCACAAACTTAACTTTCAAAGAATATCTTTCACACACCCAACTTCAAAGACTAAACTCCCAAAAATTCTTCTTCATGCACCTAAACTCGGAACGACTATAGTTCATAAACCTAACTCCCAAAGACTATATTTCACGCACGTAAGTCGCAAAGACTATAAGATCATGCGTCTATTTCCTAAAGAGTTTAACTCATGCAACTAACTTCAAAGAAAATAGTTAATGTGTCTAATTACCAAAGAGTATAGTTCATGCACCTTACTCCGAAGGACCATACTTAATGAAAGAGCTCCCAAAGACTATAGTTCATGCACCTAACTTCCAAATTAAAAATTAGCCGACAATTACCCCGCACGTGTGATTGGGTCAAGATTGTCTGTCTAATACATTGTATACAGATCCATTTAAAAACTGCTATAAAGCTATTAAAACCAATTAAAACAATTAAAACTGTGTATAATAACTAAATATATCGTAACTACGAATATTTTCATATTTTTTCTATATTTTCGGTACATCGATATATGGATATACCGAAAAAACCAATATCGATAAACCGATATTTAAAAAAAACTCCGATATTTATCGATATTTCGATATGCCGCAACAGCCTACCTCGCAAGAGCCTTTATCGTCGTAAACATGCTTGGAATCATTCGTGTTTTCAGTGGTCGACGAGTCCTCATCCAAAACTCTCGAGCGTATGCTAGGTGCTTCAACTACGTTGAATTTCATCAAGCTATCTTTAACCTGGCGTCGTTGTTTCTCTTCTGCCATGCTTGATTTTGTTTCAATGTTGGAATTTTCATTTTCAAGCAGTTCTTGTACCTCGATCTACGAATTATAATATCTGTCATAAATATTAAAGCAGTTTGTTTATGTAGAAAATATGCAGACACAAAGTTATGAAGAGAAATAAAAACATCTTTAACATTGTCACGGATATTACGAGGGGCATAACAAAGTGTTGATGAGTTTGACTAATTCCACGTTTATAAGAAACTTTTATACAATTCTACCCTAACCTTAACACTTACACTAACCATAATCTAACCCTGACCCTAATCCACACCCTAACCATTGAACCAATGTATGAACTGTAGTCAATTGTAGTCAAATTATAAAGCCTAGTTCCTATCGTTTTTGGAGTTCAATGTGCATTCTCATCTTTCGTTTCCAATCCGTATTTTATTCTTGTAATCTTGTAGTCCATATTCTTGCAAGCATTTCTCAAATGGATATTCACAAATGGAGACTCGACAAGTTATGTTAATATTTTTTCACCAAACAAAAAATTTGTCACAGTCTGTTACGGGTCTTGCAGCTGACATATGAAATGTTTGTAAGTGTGGCAGGAAAATTACATTTATATTGCTACTCTTTGTTTTGCTATGTTAAGCATTATACAATAACAAGAACACGAATGAAGAATTGGTCACATTTACGACTAAAAACAGTAAAATTCTAGAGCTCCAGTACGAATAGCAAATGACTGTCGAAACGAGGGACGATCTTGGCCCACTGCGATAATATTTTATCAAA